TTGTGTAAGAGAAAAAGGGTGAAGACAGCTCCTCCATAAATAGTTCACCACACTATATGCCAGTGGTGGCGAACCTATGGCACACATGCCAGAGGCGATACTCGGAGCCCTCTCTGTTGACACGCATGGGTTTTGGGTTGCGGTTTGGGCCAATCACCAGGAGATAGGGAGTTCTAGTTCAGCCTCAGCCATGAAAGCCAACTGGGTGACTTTGGGCCAATCACCAGGCGACAGTGAGTTCTAGTCCTGCTTTAGTCACGAAGGCCATTTGCCCCCATTGAAAAAAAGTGCAGAGAAAAAAATACAGAAACAAAAGAAAAAAAACAGCAAAGTACACCCATCCAACAAATTAATTAACGGTCGTGTTGTGATACTAAAGCAAAATTAAATGGATATCAATCACTTCCGTGTAGCACATGTTTGTTTGAACACTGTAAATCAAATTGCACATAAAACTGTCTTGAGTTGTAAAATATTATGAAATCTATGCCAAAGGAAGAGAGACTGTCTTTTTTTCTTTCTCTTTTTCTCCTTCCTTCCTTCCTTCCTTCCTTCCTTCCTTCCTTCCTTCCTTCCTTCCTTCCTTCCTTCCTTCCTCACTCCCTCTTTCCCATCTCTCTTCTCCTCCTCCCCTCCTTCCTTCCTCCCTCCCTCCCTTCCTCTTTCCCATCTCTTCCCCCTTTCTTTCTTTCTTTCTTTCTTTCTTTCTTTCTTTCTTTCTTTCTTTTTTTTTTTTTCTTTCTCTGGAGGGAAAATAACATTTATTCAAAAACTGGATATTTCCTAAACCTAGGGCAGGTAATCCTTGACATCACCATTAAATAGGACAAGAATTTTTGTGGCTAAGCAACACTTTTTAGACTGTTACGCAAATCACGCCCGATATTATGACTTTGTCTGCCATGGTTATTATCAGCAAATCACTGCTGGTTGTAAATGGAGGACTATCTGTATGCCAATTTTCTTTTGTTTGAAAAATTTAAAATTAAAAAAAGAAATAAAGGCAGAGTAGGTGGGAGGTGGAAAAAGTAACTGTCGGATCCCATTTTTAAAAAAGAAATTTAAAGAAAAAGGTGGAAAAAGCGTAGCGAAGGGTATGGATATTTTAAAAAAGAAAGAAAAAAAGAAATATGGATTAGTTGAGATTGATTTGTTTTACACTGCATGATTAAGCTGTTTTTTCCCCTCTTCCTGCCTAAGCCGATATGTTTTAAGTTCAGCTTTAAATTTCTGAAATATTTTTAGATCTGAATTGTTGTCCTTTTTTTTTGTTTTGGCAAACAAAGAACTCTGCCCCTGAATTGGAATATATCCAGTCCCAGGTTTCAAAACGACAAAATATTTTCAAAATAAACCAAACTTTGAAGCTTGCCCTTGCCAAAATAGTTATTTTTTTTCTCCCAATGCAGGAAAAAAAAAAACATTTTTCACCTAGGATGTGTTTCCTTTCCTGTTTGTAAAAAGCCCATTCCAGCCTGCTAAACCTTCAGAAATGGAAGGCAATTACATATCTATGCAAAACATTAACTACATTAAAGGCAGCACTAGCAGACAGGAGACACTAAAAGGGAAAAAAAAATAACAAATGGATTAAGGTTTACAGAGGAGGCTGAAAGCCAGGTTTGAGAAATTGAAAAAAAAAAAAATAGAACAATCTTCAGAAAACATTATAAAAACACTTCTCCACCCCACATCTATATACTTTTATCAATATTACATTCCCATACTCACAGCACCCACCTATGGTAGTCCTCGACTTGTAACTGTTCGTTTAGTGACTGTTTGAAGTTGCAATGGCACGGAAAGAAGGGATTTATGACTAGTTTTCACACTTACACGACCGTTGCAGGATTCTTGTGATCAGGTGATCAAAATTTGGACCTTTGGCAACTGACCAAGGAAGTCAGTGGGGAAGACAGATTCACTTAACAACAGAGTTGGAAGGGACCTTGGAGGTCTTCTAGTCCAACCCCCTGCTCAGATAGGGTTTCCTGCCTGAGCAGGGGGTTGGACTAGAAGACCTCAAAGGTCCCTTCCTATTGTATTGTATTGTATTGCATTGCATTCTATTCTATTCCATTCTATTCTATTCTATTCTATTCCATTCCATTCCATTCCACTCCACTCCACCCTACTCCTTTCCTTTCCTTTTCTCCCTTCCACCCTCGCTCCCTCTCCCCTCCCCAATCCTCTCCTCTCCATAAATTCCACTCCCTTCTAGCACTGATGATGTAACCTAGTTAGGGTGATGAAATGTCTGCAAGAAAACCAGCAAGCTCAGAGAGCACCCAGGACCCCATAGTCCTTCCTTCCTTCCTTCCTTCCTTCCTTCCTTCCCTCCTCTCCTCTCCTCTCCTCTCCATAAATTCCACTCCCTTCTAGCACTGATGATGTAACCTAGTTAGGGTGATGAAATGTCTGCAAGAAAACCAGCAAGCTCAGAGAGCACCAAAGACCCCATAGTCCGTCCTTCCTTCCTTCCTTCCTTCCTTCCTTCCTTCCTTCCTTCCTTCCTTCCTTCCTTCCTTCCTTCCTTCCTTCCTTCCTTCCCTCCTCTCCTCTCCTCTCCTCTCCTCTCCATAAATTCCAATCCCTTCTAGCACTGATGATGTTACCTAGTTTGGGTAATGAAACATCTGCAAGAAAACAAGCAAGCTCAGAGAGCACCCGGGACCCCTGAGGTCCATCTACGTAGGAGCAGAAACAAGTCGGAAGAATGTTGCTAGCTCAGTCGAGTAAATATTAATTGCTGGTCTGATCTGATTCTTGGACTGCCAATAATTCACGCGAGGAAGCTGCCTTTGCTTAGCTGTAGTCTCTGTTTACTGAAGCCGGGAGAAACAGTGGGACAGTTAGTGATGGGCACACAGTTGTGATGCATCAGGGGAGATTTTTCAAATGACGCCGCCGTAGGTATCTGGGCTTTCTCTCTCCTTCCCCGCTTCTCCTTTTTAAACACCTGTGTTTCCTTTGCTTCATTACCTTCCAAGGTATACCTAGAGAGCCGCAAGTGCCAATTCGTTTTCTCAGACTGGCTAATTTCCAAAGCACATTAATTTAACTGGGCTGCAGCCGAGACCTGCGTCATCGGCGAAGCTCTCTTGAGTGTAAAACAGGAAAGCCGAGGGTTCGTGTTGGTTTGGGGGCAGCAAATGCTGGCCTTGCAACGCCGGAACAGCATGGGGATCTTCTGGAGAAGATCCAGAGAGACATTAATTAGATCTACCTCCCTGTTCTCGTTAGACAGCCTCGGCTGGATTGTTGAGAGCGATGCTTCTCATCCTCGGCAAATGGAAGGTGTGTGGACTTCGACTCCCAGAATCCCCCAGGCAGTGGAATGGCTTCCCCAGCCAGATGGGAATTGAAGTCTACACATCTTCAGCTTGCCAAGGTTGAGAACATGGAAGGGGAAAGAGAGGGAAGGAGGGAGGGAGAAGGAAGAATAAGGAGGGAAGGAAGGAAGGAGGGAGAAAGAGGAAAGAGAAAGAAAGAAAGAGAAAGAAAAAGATGAGAGGGAGAGAGGGAGGAAGGGAGGAGAGAGAGGGAGAAGGGAGAATAAGGAGGGAAGGAAGGAGGGAGGGAGAAAGGAAAGAGAAAGAAAGATGAAAGGGAGAGAGGGAGGGAGGGGAGAGAGAAAGAAAAGAAAGAAAGATGGAAGGGAGAGAGGGAGGGCGGGAGGAAAGAGAAAGAGAGGGAGAGAGAGAGAAGAATAAGAAGGGAGAGAAGGAAGAGAGGAAGGAAGGAAGGAAAGAGAGAAAGAAAGGAGGGAGGGAGAGAGATAAGCAAGAGAGGAAGGAAGGAAGGAAGGAAGGAAGGAAGGAAGGAAGGAAGGAAGGAAGGAAGGAAGGAAGGAAAAATGGAGGGTGGGATAGAGAGAGGGAAGGGAGGGAGGGAGATGAGATGGAGCGTGGGAAGGATGAGACAGGGAAGGAAGAGAGGAAGGAAGGAAGCAAAAAAAAAAACCCGAGGGAAGGAAACATCAAAGGAGACATGTTTTCAGTCTGTCAACACCCGCAGCTGTGCCAAGCAAGCACTGGCAAAACAAGAAGGTGCCAAAGCACATTTTGGGAGCTAAAAACAGAAGAAAATAGTAGGGTGCAAATCAGTGGGAAAATTAGGATTCTTTGGAGGAAGACTGAGTGGTTTTGGGGGAGCCCCTCAATCTGGGATTCTCAAAAAGACCAGGGTCACTGATAGAATTTAGGGCTACCCCAGTCTCTGGCCCAATGAGGCTCCTTTTTTGAACTAAAACCATGGGAAAACATTAAAAAAACCTTAGCAGGTAGATCAGAGCTGTGCTGTAGGGCGCCCCCTCCTTCCCCAGAAACCTTTTTTTTTTTTTAAATCAATAAATCCTATTCCCAGCCTGGCAGCTATGAAAAACCAGACTCATTTCGGTTGCAAACATGCCAGGCCCCCCAAATATTTTTTTTTTCTTTTCAAAACCGAATGAAAAGAAGGTGAGTTATTGGAACGGCAGGAAATGACGCAGGAAGGACCGGGTGGCTGGAAGCGGTCAGCGAATTGTCGAAAAGAGATCGAATCTTTATTTATTTATTCCCCCCCCCCCCAAAATAGTCTTCATTTGCCTGGTAGAAGCTCCTTCTGACACCGGGTGGTTTCATCACCCAAAGAGACAAGAGTCCAAATTAGCTTCCATTTTGGGTTAGCCATCGAATCATCGAGTAATAGAGTTGGGAGGGACCTTGGAGGTCATCTAGTCCAGCCCCCTGCTCAAGCAAGAGACCCTGGCAAGAACCATAGAGGAACAAAGCTAGAAGGGACCATGGAGGTCTTCAAGTCCAACCCCCCTGCTGGTCTTGTTGTCTTTGTTTTAAAATTGAAAAAGGCAGATAGTCCTCCGCTTACGACCGCAGTCGGGATCACCTTTTTACCATGGGCGCTATCTTTGCTTTCTTTTGCCTCAGTCGTTCTGGCGCTGTTTGCAAGTCTTTGTAGTTTGTCATTCCTTTTTCCCTCTTCATTTCTGCTATCTCTAGATCCTGCACAGTACAGAGGTTCTTCTCTTCCTTACTGACAGTTGTTACCTCTGAGGCGTTGTGTAGCAGGCGGTAAGTAAATCACACAGTTGTTAAGTGAATCTGGCTTCCCCTCCTCCATGGACCTTGCTTGTCAGACGGTCGCAAAAGGGGATCGCATGACCCCGGGGACACTGGGGCCGTCATAAATACGAGTCAGTTGCCAAGCGCTTGAATTTTGATCCCGTGACCACAGGGAGGCTGCAACGGTCGTAAGTGGGAGAACCGGCGATCAGTCCCTTGTTTCAGTGCTGTGGTAACTTTGAACTGCTGTAAGTCGAGGACTGGCTGGAACAGGAACGCAGCGATGACGCAGCCGCTTCCTGGCCACCGTTCTCCCTCTTTTGCATCCCGGGGAGAGCAGTTCCTTTGCCGAGTTATTTTCCTTCCCACAGACATTTGATGCGAGTCATTGCATTTGAGTTATTTTAGGAAGCCAATCTGCCACAGAGTTTTGCCCAAGCCAAAAAAGATAAAATAAACAGAAACACGTTCCAGAATGGGGCAGAACAGCCCTGAGCGAGATGGACACCCTTACTTCCTAGCCAAAGAAACACAGATCCTCGACTTAATGACTCAGTTTTGAAGTGTCAACGGCCTCCTCTGAGCTCAGGTGATCACATTTTGGGCACTTTGTCCCAAAGGTGCTTCCACCCCCCCCCCCAAGAGGCAACTGGACTTTCTTGTTTTTCTTTGAAGACGTTTCGCTTCTCATCCAAGAAGCTTCCTCAGCTCGGATTGGATGGTGGGGAGTGGAAGGATTTATACTCCTTGCAGAGAGCTGGTCATTTGCCTTTTTTTCTAGAGAGTTGTCGAGGCCGCTTGGAGGTTTATTTGGGTCCTCAAGGTCACCTGAGGGGTCCAAATGGGTGTGGAGCCTTCTTGAAAGGACTGTGTTGTAGACTGGTGATCGATGATGTCATATCCCTCCCCCTCTGTTGAGAGAGAGGGGACTGTTCAATTTTGACATCCGTTTGCATAGTTCAGGAAGCGCTATGAGGACCAAGTTAATAAGTGAGGGGGCAACATTAATCTCATTTGGGGTCAGCCTCTGCTTACCATGGCTTCCGTACCAGATCCACCTCCTTGCTTTTAAAGCCCAGAGAATTCCCAGGTTGACGAAAACTGTTAAGGAACAAGAAAGCCACAACTTAGAAGCTGATCCGTGCAACAGAATAAGAATAAGAATAGAATAGAGCTGGAAGGGACCTTGGAGGTCTTCTAGTCCAGCCCCCCGCTCAAGCAGGAGAACCTATACCATTTCAGACAGGTGACTGCCTAGTCTCTTCTTAAAAATCTCCATGATTTCTGAAGGCAAAGCTGTTCCACTGGTTGATTGTCCTCACTGTCAGGAAGTTTCTCCTTCATTCCAGGTTGCTTCTCTCCTTGATCAATTTCCAGCCGTTGTAACCTCGACTTACAACCGTTAAGATTCATTTAACAACCGTGTTACTAACTGTGGAAGGAAAGGTCGTAAAATGGGGCAAAATTCACAACTGTCTCACTTAGCAATGGAAGCTTTGGGCTCAACTGTGGTCGTAAGTTGAGGGCTCCTTGTACGTATATTTAAAAAAAAAAACAGCAGGAGAAAAATCTAATATTATTACTTCTCCGGCTTTTTTTTTAAAAAAATACATATTTGGTCAATTCAAGGAGACAAACCTATTTCTAACCAGCGAGTCCCTCAATTGCCCCCCGCCCTGCCTTGCCGGGGACCCTTCCCCATCCTTTTGATCTCCTCCTTCTCCTCTGCTTCTGCAATCGCTCTTATGCGCCAGTGTCTCCCTCCAAATGTTGCAGTCTCTTTCCCGTCCCAACCGCTTCCAAATTAATGGCAAGCAATTATTCCAACCTGCAAATCGCTCCGAGTCGCCTCTAAGCACAGCAAGCCAGAAGGAAATGAATCTATAAATCACAAATATGGTCCTCCGCAGTGGAGAACGGGGAGAGGAACACAGGTTCGTCCCTGGTGTGCTCACACATGCGTGCGCACCCACAACCCCGCTTTTGTGCTGCCTAAGCAAAGGGGGGGGGTGCCTCTCTCTGCCCTTTTAAGGACATTTTGCATTGATCTCGAAAGCCGAACCCTAAAAAAAAGCACGAAATGTGTACAGCCAAGACCGAAAAAGGGGGGGACCCCAGCAACTTTAATGAATAAACATCAGCGCAGTGAGAACATCAACACGCCCTTAATCCGTCATGATTTCTTTACAGGCCTAAAACAAACCAGCATGTGGAGTGAGTCGATGTTTTTGAAGATAAGTCTGAGGGGGGGGGGGGAAATTGGCCTGCTTAATGCTTGATGTAATGTGCCATATGCCATGTGCTTTGGGAAACATCACCAGCCTCCCCACATTTTGTTATGTTAACATGTGAATCAAATAATTGCAGGTCCGTATCAGCTGCGTCAAATAATCAGACATGCACCGCGCCACGTTTTTGTTCAGTTTGTCCTGGCACAATGCTAAAATTCATTTTTAGGACTCCGTAAGAATGTCGACGTCCCGTCTTAGCAATATTCTGCGGCTTGGCCATTGGATTGCATGTGTATAAAATCTCTCTTCTAATTTATATATATATATTCTAATTTATAAATGTATATATACAGCTAGTCCTCTTCTCTTCTCTTCTCTTCTCTTCTCTTCTCTTCTCTTCTCTTCTCTTCTCTTCTCTCCTCTCCTCTCCTCTCCTCTCCTCTCCTCTCCTCTCTTCTCTTCCATCCCATCCCATCCCATCCCATCCCATCCCATTCCAAGCGCTTATCACGAGGAGGTCCTGCCAATTAAAGAAAACCACAACGACATCTTGAGTTATTTTGGGGAGGAGGGCAAAGAGTTGGCCCTGACTAAAAGACCAAGGGGGAGACGGGTCTTAATAGACATGACCTCATCCACAATACAGATGTGATATTTAATAACAATCACTCTGCGTGTCGGCTAAATATCACCAGTGAATGATTTATGATTTGGAGGAAGAAGGACTTCAAATGTGTTCCTGGGATTGGAAGAATGGGTCTGGGCATCTGTCTGCCTTCCTCACCTCTTTTTCTCCTTCCTTCCTTTCCTTTCCTTTCCTTTCCTTTCCTTTCCTTTCCTTTCCTTTCCTTTCCTCTCTCCCTCCCTCCCTTTCTCTCTCTCTCTTTTCCTCCTCCCTCTATTTCTTTCCTCTCTTCCTCTTTCTTTTTTCTTTCTTTCTCTCTCTCTCTCCTTTTTCTCTCCTCCCTCCCTCCCTCCGACTTCCTTTCTCTCTCTCTTTCCCTCCTCCCTGCCTCCCTTTCTCTCTCTCTCTCTCTCTCTCTTCCCGTCTCTCTTTCCTCTCTCCCTCCCTCCCTTCCATTTTTCCTTCCTTCCTTCCTTCCTTCCTTCCTTCCTTCCTTCCTTCCTTCCTTCCTTCCTTCCTTCCTTCCTTCCTTCGGATCTGAAGCCCACTGGGTACAGGAATTTTGCCTTCCTCTGTGTTTGAACATCCTCTGTTTGCTCTCAGCTTAGGAGAAATCAATCCTGCTGTCTAGACTTAAAATGGTTTGGAGAAGGAAATCTGAATACAATAATAAAGTATTTTCTTGCAGTGCTCAATTCAGTGGATTATTTTTAAGTATTGACAAATGTCAATTACCACTTCTCCTCAAAATTTGCGACAGTTTCTTTTAGTTTTAGCATCTGGGTCCACAGTGGTAGAGTAGATGCTATCTGCTATACAGCAAGATTAGTCATTTGCCCGGAGGCAATTTATGAATGTAAAATACCACTTTTTGTTTGCTGAGTTAACAGTATGACATTTTGAATAGAGTACAACTTTCTAACAATCAGGGAGCATCTCTTCCGTAGAATAACTAGCAAAGTTTGCAATTTAGCTGTTGCTGGTTTTTTTTTTTTTCCCCCTTAGGTAAGAAAAAGACTTTTTGGGCTGTAAGGACTAAAACACATCTCCAGAGGTTGTGGGTGCTCCAACACTGGAGGTTTTTAAGAAGAGATTGGACAACCATTTGTCTGAAATGGTGTAGGGTTTCCTGCTTGAGCAGGGGGCTGGACTAGAAGACCTCCAAGGTCCCTTCCAGCTCTATTCAGATTGATTGATTGGAGTGGCGTAGGGTCTTGCTTGAGCAGGGGGTTGGATTAGAAGACCTCCAAGGTCCCTTCCAACTCTATTCTATTCTTATTCTTGTTCTGTTGCATGGATCAGCTTCTAAGTTGTGGCTTTCTTGTTCCTTAACAGTTTTCGCCAACCTGGAAATTCTCTGGGCTTTAAAAGCAAGGAGGTGGATCTGGTACGGAAGCCATGGTAAGCAGAGGCTGACCCCAAAGGCTATTGATGTTGCCCCCTCACTTATTAACTTGGTCCTCATAGCTCTTCCTGAACTAGATGACTTTCATGGATTTTCACCCCTCTCTCAAACGTACTTGAGTGGTGGAACTCTTTCTTTCTTTCTTTCTTTCTTTCTTTCTTTCTTTCTTTCTTTCTTTCTTTCTTTCTTTCTTTCTTTCTTTCTTTCTTTCTTTCTTCTCCTTCCTTTCTTTCTTTCTTTCTTTCTTTCTTTCTTTCTTTCTTTCTTTCTTTCTTTCTTTCTTTCTGCAGTTCCTGTCAGCTCCTACCCATCTTACCCTTTCGTCCTCACTGATGTTTTGAATTTTGTTTTGTTTACTTAATTTTATTGCAGAAGTGCTCTATTCCGTCAAGCGATTCCACTCTCAAAGTGGAAATATTTGCTACAGTTCAAAAGTTTGCCCTTTGCAAAGTTTCACCCTGAAACTCTGAATTGCTGTTTTTGTTTCTGCTCTTTATGACACAACAGGCAGTTTCTTGCTTTTCATAAAATTCTGCAGAATTGGGAACAAAATGGGGATTGTTTGTCCTAAGAGTTTTGTTCCTGTTGTGTGCTTATCTCTATGTCTGTTTTTTTTTAAAAAATCACTTTATTATAGTCAAAACCACTTACTTGTGGGAAATATATTATTAACTGTATTGCAAATGAAGTTCAGTAACAAAAGCCGACTGTAAATCTCTTTTCTGCTTCCCAAGAATGAAGCAACAATGGGTTTACTTCTCTCTCTGTTTGAATATTTTTTTCCCCTTTGGCAAACAAAGCTTGCAAAACCATATTTACCACAGCTTTCTTTTCTCCTGCAAATCAGGTTCTGCTCTTACCATATGTCAGTATTATTAGTGTGATTTATCATTTTTCTCAGATTTACTGTCCCCTTTATAGCCAATCATGGCAGTGAACAATAAAAGCCAAATAAAATCCTCGCACCTCAAAGAAGAACAAACAATCCCTAATAAAACAATTTATTAAATCCAGCAATCGAGGACAATCCACTAGGATTAAGATGAGCATCAGAAGAATTGAAAAAGCGTGATGGAGATAACCTTCTAAGAATGCAGTTTAGGGACAGCCTTAACAGGCAACACAAAGCATTTGGATGCCCGGAAAGTAACTAGATTGCCAGCTAAGTTGATCTCCCCAGGGGAATCCTTTCTTATGATGGAGAGACTGAATCCTCAAAAGATCTGCTTGTGGAGTAGGCTACAACTCATTGAGTGGTTTGGGGTGAAGTTAACAAGAGGATCTCAAGAGGAGATTCCCTGAGGGTTTTTGAGATTGGGGAGATAAAGGAAAAAGATGTTGAGACTTTGGAAAGAGTGCAGAGAAGAGCAATCTTATCTCTACAGGGATGACGTTCCACAAGGAGGGAGCTGTCACGGAGAAGGCCCATCTTGTTGGTCTGCTAAGAAAGGGGACCTGTTACATACCCTGCCTCCCCACTCTGGTGGGTCAGGTAGATGTGACTGGAAAAAGGTGGTCCTTCAAATAACAGAGAAGAAGCCACCACTGAGAAGCCTGTTCTTCTCGGTCCAACCAGATGGACCTCCCTAGGTGAGGGGACCTATAGCATTCGCTATCTCTCCACTCTGGTGGGTCAGGTAAATGTGACCTGGAAAAGATGGTCCTTCAAATAACCTGATCCCAAGGCACGTAGGGCTTTGAAGGTGACAACCAGACACTTTGAATGGAACCTAGAAGCAAATGGTCAGCCAGTGGTTACAAAGCCTCTTCCGTTGGTTCCTGCTGCTGAGAAAAGCTGGATTCCAGAATCCATCACCTCCAATGACGAGGCTTGGAAGGGGCTGTCATCGAAAACTTATCTGCTTCTCAGGCCATTGAACGCCTCTTTGCAAAAAGACAGATTATTCCCGACAACTGGGGAGACACTGTACATTTGTTTCACGCTGCTGTTGTTGGCTGGTGCTGTGGAAAGGGAAAAACAAAACAAAACAGGTAACCTCAAAAAAAAAAATCATCCTGCTCTTCAAGAAGGAAATTCTGCACACACGCGCACACAAACACCTATCTCTTTTCGACTCTCTGTGTAGAAGATCGATATTTGGTCACAAGGTGCCTTCCAGTTTGTTCTCATAGTCCTCTTCCTTCCAAATTTTTTTTTTGGGGGGGTATTGTATTGATTGGTTAGACCAGGCTTTTTGACATGGAGGCAAGGGAAAGGTGTTGCAAACTAGGGATGGAGTTGAAGTTTGCAAATATGTGTGTGTGTATGGGGGGGGGGACCCAAATAGGTACCCATCAAGGCTGGCTGGTTGTGAAGATTGGTCTAGGGCAGTGATAGGCAACCTTGGCTCTTTTATGACTCGTGGACTTCAACTCCCAGAATTCCTGAGCCAGCCATGCTGAGGGGAAAGGGAGAGGTTTCCGAGCTGAGTCATGCTGGCTCAGGAATTCTGGGAGTTGAAGTCTATGAGTCATAAAAAAGCCAAGGTTGCCTACCCCTGGTCTAGGGTGAAAAACTACGAGGTGAGGAATAGACTGAATGGATCCTAAAAAAGGAGGGATGTTCTATGGCAGCATAGTTGTCATTTTGGGATGAAGCAGAAGGGATCAGCTGGATAGACCTAGAGCAGCAACAGACCTCAAGAATGACACGTGAAGTTCTGAGTAGTTTCTTTATTGTCATTCCCCTATAGCAGTGGTTCCCAAACTTTTCTATACTCCGCGCCCCTAGAACACTTCTGATATATTCTTGCACCCCTTACAGAAGTTCGAAATATCGGCAGCGATTTATGCATGTACGCCATAATTTTGAAACTTCTAAAATCCAAGTTTTCGCGCTCCCTGGAATATCTCTCGCACCCCCCAGTTGGGAATCCTTGACCTATAGACAGAATCTTACCAGACTAAAGTAATTATCTGCATAACTATAGATACACTCTGTGAATTGCTAGGGAAGAGCTGTCGTAGCTCTTTTCCTGCCTACTAGACATCCCAAGTTCTGCTGCTTCTTTGCCCTCTGGGGAAAAAACTTAACATTTTTTCATCGGTCACGCTACCACCTGCCAGGCGCATGAGTTCATTGAAGGCTGGCACTCCAACAACAGTTCTGTCCACAGACACTCTGATCTACAACCAGCCGACGAACTCGTCCGTATCCAAATCAACCGCACAGCCAACCAGAGACAGCACTGACTCTCAACCATCCCGGGCAATCCCCCATTCCCACCAGCAGTTCACCTCCCAATGATGTTGACAGTTCACCTCCCAACACCCATCACAAGACTCATTGATGACTCACACCTGGCCCATCACAAGACCCACCACAGACCCTCACTTGATACACCCACGCCTGAAGCCCTTATAAACAGAACGTTGACACTAACGTCCCCTAAACTCCACTGAAGATGTTACCTAGCCTGGTAACAAAACATCCAGAAACCAACCCACAAGCTCGGAGAATGGACCTTCACCCTCAAAAAAACGTATTCCTCCTGGGACTCCAGACTACATTCCACCACACAATCTTCTCAAGAAATGATGATGAAAGAGCTTATGAATTTCATGGGGCATTATCTTCTTCTCCCCTTTAGTAGCCAAGGGTGACTTCGGGCCAGTCACCAGGAGATGGTGAATTCTAATTCCACCTTAGGCACGAAAGCTGGCTTGGTGACTTTGGGTCAATCACCAGCAGACGGTGAGTTCAAATCCCACCTTAGGCTTGAAAGCCAGCTGGGGGACTGTGGGCCAGTCCCTCTCTCACTCAACCCAACCCACCTCACAGGATCGTTGTTGTGGAGAAAATAGGAGGAGAGAGGGTTTTGGATAGGTTTGAGTTATTTTTATAAAACGAATAAAGGTGGGATATAAGTAAATGAGGTAAATTATTCCTCAGAATAGAAATAGGAGTTGCCCCCATAAATGCCCTGGAAATGGGGGAACTGAAGACACATCATGCTTTCCTGTAACTACACGAATGAAACAATTCAGTTACACCTTTGTCAGGTGTGGAAAATATATATATATCAAAAGCTTTTCTTCAGTTTCCCCTCTGGACCTAATTAGCCACGTGGTGCTTCTTCTGAGGTAAATGGAGGGACCTTTCCCAGTGACTTAGAATCAAATGATCAGATTGGCTTAAATTACCCCCTTTTTCAATCTCTTGTTTTTTGTCCTCTGGTGGAGGATTTTCTTAGCATTCAAGTTCACCTCAGCAATTAACTGTAGCCAGATTCTGATTGTAGATAAGTGTATTAAGCCCTTTGTGTTCCTAAAGCTCGCACATGGCTATTTATAGTGTCAATTAATTCCTCATCTTGGTATGTGTCTTTGACACATCTGTTATGGAGCCCACACAGACTTTTGTCTCTTAACTCTGCATACAGACGCTTGTGTGTTCTGCTCTGGTTTTATTTAGAGCTTCGTTACCCCCCCAAAGTTCAATCTTACCAATGTTCCAGAAATCCCAGGATGGAAATTATACAGATATATACATACACATACACATACACAGAGAGATACATGTATTGATATGCAGTTTTGGAAGGATGAAGCCCTAAAGCAGTGGTTCTCAACCTTTCTAATGCCACGACCCCATAATACAGTTCCCCATGTTGTGGTGACCCCCAACCACTTATACATCACCGGGTGCCAGGGGCATGGCCAAAGAAAAGGGAGAAAAAAATGGCAGACAGCCTTGTTTGGCGACCCCCGTGAAATGGTCGTTCGACCCCAAATGGGGTCCCGACCCACAGGTTGAGAACCACTGCCCTAAAGGTTCCAGAGTTGGAGAAATGGACAAGAAATGAAAGCATGCTTGGTCTGCCTGTGGAAGAATGTTCTCACGGTGGTGGAACGTCTGTTTTGGTGGAGAAGATCCAACTTCGAAAAAGGTTAGCTGAACGGGAGAACATTTTTAGTTGGGAATGAGCGTGGAATGAATTTTAGAGTTGGAAAGGATGGTTTTGGTTCACCTCCCTGGAACGTCCAGAGAGACCAATTAAATGATCTCCAAGAATCGACTATCCATCCTTTTCTGAAGACCTGCAGAGGTCCTACTGTTCCAATCTTCTTGTCAGGAAGGCTTCCTTTAGGTTTAAACAAAATTTATTGTCATGGAATGGGGTGAGGAGGTGGGTCCTCAGGATATTATGTCTTGTTGCTGAGAATGTTTTAGCATGTGGACAGGTTTTGCGGAGAAAAGAGTGACAGGGTAGAATTTGATTTACTGTATGCCTAATCCACACTATTCCAGGCTGTTCAGAAATGGAGCCAAGCAAACATTTGTTCTTGGTTTTATGGATGGCTCGGTAAACATTTATGAGAGTTGATGATTTGCGATGGAATTCAGTAAACGTTGCTGATGCTAAGTGGTTTTAGTTGCTTCAGATAGCGCGCTGGACTGGATGGAGGTCTTCCTTTATAAATTGAATAAGACTGATCTGCATTGAGGATGGGAATGGGGATGCTTTAGTACTTAAGTAAGTCCATCTTCATTCTTGCTGATTGGATTTTTTTTTTTTAAAAAAAAAAGTCAGGATTCAATTCATGCATATACTGGTTAGTAGGTCAAGAGAATGTTCTCTAAGGTTTATTGGGAAATAGCACGATGTTTATTAACAACGATGGAAACACCGAGAATATTTCTTCCTGTGTCTTGCATGCAAGGAGACCATTTGGTGAAGAGTTTTTGTGTTAATTCAGGGTGGAACAGTGGTATTCTTGATGCTCTCTGAGCTTCATTGTTTTCTTGCCGATATTTCCTTACCCAACTAGGTAATATCGGTGCCAGAAGGGAGTGGGGTTTGCGGAGTGGAGGCAGGAGAAGAATAAGAGGAGGGGGAAGATACGGGGTTTTGGTGACCTATGAGTTTGGTGGTTTTCTTACAGATATTTTATTACCCAACTAGGTAACATCATCAGTGCTAGAACGGAGTGGGTTTTGTAGAATGGAGGAGGAGGACTGTGGGGTCCTTGATGCTCTCCTAGCTTGGTTGTTTCCCGGCAGATGTTTCATAACTCAACTAAGTAACATCATGAGCCCACTTCTGGGTGGAAAAGAGACGTATCTCAGCCCCCAGATTTAACTTCACTTGGCCCTGAAAGAAAAAAAAAACCTAGTGAAGGAAGAACACGCTGAGGTCAAGAATGATTTAAAGAAAGGCCCACCTATATAGAGAGTAAAACAGTCGTCCCCCCCTTTCTATACACCTTGGCAAATTGATTTGATACCAGCTTCCCAAGGCCACCAGTAGACCTTCTGCAGATACTTCAAGCAAGAAACAGGGTGGGGGAAAAAAAATACAACTCACGCAAGCCACCAGTTTGTTAAATGAATGCCATTTCTCCACGAATCATCTTATTTCTCTCTCGTTCTTGCCAAGTGACGTTTATTAAGGAAATAGTTAAGCTGAAAACGCGATGGGATCCCTAGTTTCCTTGTCGTTGTGAAGATTAAATTTTAGCAGATGGAACCACCAAGAAGCCATCACTTCTAAGATCGGCTGTTATAATCTGCAACCAAAATGTGTTTTTTTTTCCCCGCTTCTGTTTATTGTGTTTATTTCTGCCGAGGGGTACATTTCATGGACTAACTTATGCAGTTGAAATTAAAAATAACTCCAGACCTTCCCCCCCCCCCAAGCGGGCATCGAATTGGAGAATATTTTCCCCTTTATATTTTTTTTTCATCCACGTTTCCTCCCTTTTCAATCTTTCCTTGGCTGAACTCTTTGTTTCGCAGATTACTTTGGGGTACGAGTGTGGGTATGTGTCTACCTTAAACAAAACCTTTTCCCTGATCCTTCACCCCCCTTTCTTTCTTCTGACATCAGCACACTGTGACTGTCTCTCTGTGTCTGCATTGAAATTGCCATCTTTTGTTCGCTGCTTTTCATCGGTGTGGGATTGTTGATAATCAGCCAAATTAGAGCAGGAATGAGAGCAAAGGCTGTTGAAGCAAAGAAACATCTCTGCTTGGAGCAGAGGAGAAAGGCTTAGCTTGGAAATGGGATTGTGCTGGACTTTGCAAAAAGACAGTTGCAAAAGAATGTGTAATAATTACTGCCTTGATAGTTCACTCAGCTGAAACAGGGCTCTGGAGAAACAAATCAGAGCTGATGGTATCACCCAAAGGAATTCCTAAATCTCTACAGAAGACAAACAAAAGGCTTTCCTCTAAGTTCTAAACCAGTTCTAAGTTCTCAAGATGTTTATGATAATGTAGTAGGGGGAAAAAACACACTCACTCTCTCCCTCTCTCTCTCTCTCTCTCTCTCTCTCTCTCTCTCTCTCTCTCTCTCTCTCTCTCTCTCTCTCTCTCTCTCTATATATATATATATATATATATATTATATATATATATATATATGTTTTCTGAGGTTTTTCGCGGTGTTTGTATGTAGGTCTTTGGTTGTTCGGGTTTTCTCCCGCATAAAATTGGAAGTGTCTTGGCGACGTTTCGGCGAATTGCAATTGCTCGAAGCACGAAGCTGAAAACACCAGCCTGAAGATGACGAATGGGACTTCGTCGAAACGTCGCCAAGACACTTCCAATTTTACGCGGGAGAAAACCCGAACAACCAAAGACATACATATATATATATATATATATATATATATATATATATATATTAAAAATTACATTAAAAATGGAAGAATAGCGATTCCTGGGTACATACATTTCAGTAAAAAAGGAAGCGATCACCAGGAAATAAAACACCAAGGTTTTAATAAATAAAATCAAGCTTTCGATGGCTAACATCTGCCATCATCATCAGGATACAAGCCAGCTAGTGAGGAAAGGACCCTGTTACAAGGTCCATGCGTAGAGTTTAGGTGTGGCTATGCTTATAAGCAGATTTCCTCACTAGCTGGCTTGTATCCTGACGATGATGGCAGATGTTAGCCATCGAAAGCTTGATTTTATTTATTAAAACCTTGGTGTTTTATTTCCTGGTGGTCGCTTCCTTTTTTACTGAAATATATATATATATATATATATATATATATATATATATATAATATAGGTTTCGCGGGTATATGTATCTTTGGTTGTTCGGGTTTTCTCCCCGTAAAATAAGTGTCTTGGCGACGTTTCGACGAAGTATATCTTCAGGCTGGTGCCTGAAGATGACGAAGCACCAGCCTGAAGATGACGAATGGGACTTCGTCGAACGTCGCCAAGACACTTCCAATTTTACGTATATAATATATATATATATATATATATATATATATATATATATATATATATATATATATATATATATACACACCAATATAGGAAGCCAGTTTGGCCTAGTTGGTCTAGTTGGGTTGTATAAACAGAGGCATAGAATCAAGATCAGGCGAGGTGTTAGTACTGCTTTATAAAACCCTAGTAAGACCAGACCTGGAATACTGCAGCCAACTTTGGTCACCATATCACAAAAAAGATGTTGAGAGTTTGGAAAAAATTCAGAGAAGAGCAACTAAGATGATCCAAGGTCTGGAGACTAAAACATGTGAAGAACGGCTGTAGGACTTGAGTTTGGCTAGTCTAAAGAAAAGAAGAAATAGGGGAGACATGATAGCAGTGTTCCAGTATTTGAGGGGCTGCCACAAGGAAAAGGGGGTCAAATTATTCTCCAAAGCACCAGAGGGCAAGACGAGAAACGATAGTTGGAAACTGACCAAAGAGAGAAGCAACCTGGAATTAAGGAGAAAGTTCCTAACAGTAAGGACAATTAACCAGTGGAACAGCTTGCCACCAGAAATTGTGGGTGCTCCATCACTGGAAATTTTAAAGAAGAGACTGGACAGCCACTTGTCTGACATGGTATAGGGCCTCCTGCTCGAGCAGGTGGCTGGACTAGAAGACCTTCAAAGTCCCTTCCAGCTCTATTCTGTTCTAGTAGTTAAGACACTAGGCTAGAAAGCAAGAAACTGTCAGTTCAATTCCTGCTTTAGCCATGAAAGCCAGCTGGGTGGCTTTCCGCCAATCACTAGGAGATGGTGAGTTCTAGTCTTGCTTAGTCATGAAAGCTGACTGGGTGACTTTGAGCCAATCACCAATCACCATACATTTTCAAAGTTTCCGAGATTGGGAAACGCTGCTGTAAAATATTCTAAACTCCTTGTATTCAATTGCTTTTGTTCATTTTCTTCTCTGTACGCCGTGAATCTTCTTTGGTGAAAGAAAATGTCTGGAAACAACTGCGGGTAGACTTACTAACACTTTGCCAACTAATCTCTTTTCTTTCTCTCTCTCTCTCCTTTCCTCTCTCTTTACAGCTTTTTCTGCTTACGGTTGTCTGTGGCTTCACTTCCTCTAGAGATTAATGTCTGATGTCCCAACCTTCTTAACCTAAAAGAGCTTCCTAAACCTTCTTAGGTGTGTATTTTATTTTATTTTTTTCCTCAATGCACGTTTTTCCAAAATTGCATGAGGGGAATGTCGCATGTCCTGGAATGCTACTTGAGATCGGCGCAGGTTGAATTGCAGGTAGTCCTCGACTTACGACCGCAATTGAACCCAAAATGTCCATTGTTCAGTGAGACAGTTAAGTGAATTTGGCCCCCATTTACCTCCGTTCTGGCCACAGCTGTTAAGGGAACTGCTTGTTCCACGTTTGTTAAGAGAATTTGGCTTCCCCTATTGACTTTGCTTGTCGCAAAAGGGTATCACATGACCCCGGGACGCTGCGACCGTCATAAAATGGGTACCAGTTGCCAAGCATCTGAATTTAGATCATGTGACCATGGGAGATGCTGCAACGGTCATATGTCACTTTTGTCGGTGCTGTTGTAACTTCAAACCGTCACTAAACAAATTGTTGTAAGTCGGGGAAAACCTGTGTAGTGTTTCATTGCCTACTAATAAGGCAACACCTAAGGCTGTCATTCTTCACATGCCATGTAGCAACAACAGATTATATACTTTAGATGCCAAGAACATTTCACGATCCCATTTTCTTGCTTTGACTGACAAGAATTCTGATACCAAAATCGGATTCCCATGAATTCTGGGAATTCGACTTTTCAAAATAAGTTTGTGGCCCTCTTTGTCAATCAAAAGTACTTAATGTTAAATCTAGCTATGCAAACTGCCTGGAAGGATAGTTGAGGGGTAAGGCGTATGGAAGAAAACGGAAAGCTTTCCTATACCGAAGCTGGCATTACTCCAAATTTTGAAGGTGTTAAAACATATAAATAGCACGGCGTAACCAGCAGGTTTAACTAGTGGCGGCTGACGTTTTTTTCTGTCTCTTCATTTTGTTACTAACGATGATGCTGATAAGAACTGAGTGAAAAGTTGTACCTGGATGAATAACCAGAAAATAATTAGCCGAGACGCAGCAGAAAAGTCTCATCCATCTTCCCAAGAAGAGTTTAATACATTTCTTTCTCCAAATGAACAACTGTTATTATCCGTCTTCCTTTAAATAGCTCCTTGCCATGTTCTTTTCACAACAGACTTACAACGGAAGTCAAACAATGGGAGGGAACGAACAAATAGCCCTACTCCAGAGGCAGTGAGCATTGAAAGAGAAGGGAGATTTGAATCAGGGTCTGCTCAGGAATTGATAATACAGGCAATCCTCCATTTACAACCACAATGTCACGGAGACATTTCTTAAGTGAGTTTGGCCCCCTTTTCTGCCACCGTTGCAAGTTCTTAAACGAGTAACACGGTTGTGAAGTGAATCTGACGTCCCCATTAACTTTGTTGTCAAAAGGTCGCAAAAGGGGATCACGTGACCCTGGGACACTGCAACCGTCATAAGTACAAGTCAGTTGCCAAGCGTCTGAATTCTGATCACGTGACCATGGAAATGCTGTGGCAGTTGCAAGCGTGGAAAAACGATCGCAAGTTACTTTTTTCAGTGCCGTCGTGACTTTGAACGGTCACTAAATGAACTGTTGTTTTAAGCCGAAGGGGGCCGTATTATCCCAAGAAGGGGAGTGAAAAATGGAGCGCACTTATCTGCAGTGGCTCATCAGTTAGATAAAGCATTCAGACAGCCGAATAGGTGACTCTCCCAGCCTGATTGATGATCCAAGTAAGCCGGTGATTTACTGCGGCTACTAAATGTTTTCTGCCTGCCCTTCCAGCCAAGTTTACTCTTCTGTGCAAACTCAAAACATACAGAACACAACACGCACCCACATTATGCAGGAACACACCTTAAGGAAAAGAGAAATGAAAAAAGACAGATTCCATTTACTTGAAAAGCACTTGCTCAAGGAAAGTAGGGGTATATTTTACACAGGTACACATGCGTCAAATTTACACGCCGCTCCCTGGGGGAGCCAACTTTACCCACCACTGACTTAGGCCTTTCATGTGTAGTGTGGAGGGGTGTGTGAGGAGGACCTTGGCGCACAGAAGGAAGAGCTGCAGACTGGACATCTGTCAGATCAGAGGTAGCTGAGCCCTCAGCACACACGTTCCCGATCCTAGCAAAGAGACCTTTAATTGATCTTTCTTTTACTATAATGTCATGCAAGCATGGAAACACGTTCATCCTTCCTTTGGCCTGTCAGTTGCATTTTGCTGTTCGTTTGTCAAGCACTTTGCCACCCGTGGTGTGTGCTTCGGGCTGGCAAGTATATCTTAGATTCTGTCATTCAAACGTGGAAGTGTTTTTGAGTTGCCTTCTTTGGAGGCTTCATCTAAGTCAGAGGTGTCCAACCTTGGCGACTTTTAAGACCTGTGGACTTCAACTCCCAGAATTCTTTTGCCCTAGTTTACATCCTTTCTTGCCGAGCGAATTACTGCAGTTGTAAATTCAGTAGCACGGGGGTTAAGCAGATCTGGCTTCTCCCCTTGACTTTGCTTGTCAGAAGATCCCAAAAGGTGATCCTGGGACACTGCAACCGTCATGAGTACAAGCCAGTTGCTAAGTATATGAATTTTGATCACGTGACTGACCATGGGGAGGCTTCAGCAATCACAAGCATGACAAGTCCTAATTCACTGATTTCAATGCCGTTGTAACGGTCACTAAACGGATGCTTGCAAATCGAGCTGAAGTCCACAAGTCTTAAAGTTGCCAAGGTCGGACACCCCTCCCTTTTACTCCCCACCCGTGTTGCCCTAATTTTTGTCCTTTGCCCTATCAGCGAGCAGGCCAGATCTTTTGAGCCCAACCATGGACGATTATGACATCCGATCCGCAGCCAGCATCTTGGCTTCTGTGAAAGAACAGGAGGCTCGCTTTGAGCGGCTCACCCGGGCCCTGGAAGAAGAACGTCGGAATGTGTCTCTGCAACTCGAGCGGGCCAACCAGCCCTCGGATCGCATAAATGCCTGCAACATCGGCAGTGGGCAGCCCTTAGCAACGGCTTGGCAGCAGCTGGTTCTGCAGGTAAAGGATCTGCACTTCACCTCTGATTCCTGCCAGATTCGCCTGTCTATGAATGGTTAAAACGGGGTGATCTTTTTCCATCCATCTTTCCTGCCGTGCACTCAAAAGAGTTATTTTTTTCCCCTCCCCATCTTTTTAATCACACGGGCAGGTAAAATGAGGATATAGTGGTCATTGCTTCCTTGGATTTTGGATGGGCTGGCACTTAAGGTGGCAAAGAGGGCTTGGTTACAAGGCTTGGAAGATGATCAGGTAGCAACAGAAGAAAATAATTTGCAGCTCAGGGTTGAAATGAGGGGTCCTTGGTGATCTCTGAGCTTGGTGGTTTTCTTGTGGATGTTTCATGACTTGACTAGGTAGCATCATCAGTGCTAGAAGGACGTGGGGTTTGCGGAGAGGAGGAAGAGGAGGAGGAGAAGGAAGAGGACTGTGGAGTCCTTGGTGCTCTCTGAGTTTGGTGGTTTTCTTGTGGCTGTTTCATGACCCGACTAGGTAACATCATCAGTGCTAGAAGGAAGTGGGGTTTGCGGAGAGGAGGAGGAGAAGGAGGAGGGGGAGAGGAGGAGGAAGAGTACTGTGGAGTCCTTGGTGATTTTCTTGCAGGAGGTTTGCTACCAAATAGATCCCATCATCAGAAGAAAACCCCACGTCCTACTAGCACTGATATTGTTCCCTAGCTGGGGCATGAAACATCCACAAGAAAGCCACCAAGCTCAGAGAGCACCAAGGACTCCCACGGGTGATCAGCACAAGCAGCAGTGGTTTATTGATTCACACTTCTGGTTTGTTAGAAGAGAAATGGAGCTTGACCTCTGTGTTGATAATCAGCCAAATTCGAGCAGTATAGTTATATACCTATGACAGTTTTATGCGTTATCTTGATGGTTACATGAGCAGAATCCATGTTCCAGATAATGGACTTGTTTGTGAAATATTTTCATTAATATTAATGTTACCAGGGATTCCAACAACAGCTGCCATTTTAATGGTCTTAAGTAAGCTTTAACTTCTATCATCTTGTAGTTTGTGGGGGGGGGGGAGGATTGTGATCACAACACATCTGGAGAAGAATGTATTGACAACTGAGAATAAGGATCCGGAGAGGAATATTTGGTCGTTCGAGAACCTGGTTGCCCAGCTATTGTGCTGTTAAATGACCCACTTCTAGGTCTTCTACAAGAGAGAGTATTTTTATAGCAGTGTTTTGCAATTTGGTGCCTGCACAATTTCAAGAATTTCCAATACTTTTGAAGGTCCCTATGGAGGGGGGAAAAACTGGCTAGTAATCCACTTGTCAGTCTCTTGAGATATTCAGGTGAGACACTTCTCCATATCACTTTGTTAGCGGAAGCATGCTAAGGTGGAACAATCTCTTGGTTTTGCTATATCTCCTTTATAAGACTCCTACCATGTCTGCAACATTTCATGGGAAAGAATTAATTTCGCCTTTAGCTTTTTAAAACTAAGCCTTGCCGGTTAATGCACCGCGTTGTTCTCCCGTCCTTTGCTGGCTTTGATACAAAGCTCTTGTTTCTTGTTTAAATTACTATAGGTGTGTTGTTAACCTCCACGCAAATTCCCAACGGAGTGGAGTGTGTAAATAACTTAGAGTCATGTATTTTTTTATTTTTGTATTTGCTCTAGGCATATGGAGCCATTGCTTTAGGAAATGGAAATTGAAGTAGGCCAAATCAAATTTCAATGTCTCCAGCTTCAGAATTAAACTGATATATTGGTCTTCCTGAAAAAAAAACCCCTCTATTTATTATTCTTTTTCAGCCGGTTATAAATCTATTTTCTTCATATGTTGAGAAATGTTATGCTCAAAAGGTAGCTGAGTTTGCAGTGGGTTTTTTAAATTTTTGGTGCTTTTTTTTAAAATGTGGGAAGCCGGCAATATATTGATTTCTGTTCCACCAGCAAGTGGGTTGACCTGAATCTTCCTCAAGCTAGCATTGAATTTTAACAAGCCGTTGGTGTTTACTTAGGCTAAACAAACTCTGATTCACATACCCAGCAGGTTCTGGCTAGCTGTGGATCAAAATGCTAATGACTATGAGTCACCCTGGACTTGTGTGCATCAGCTAAAACTCTAAAAATCTGAACTTGGAGCTAGGAAGCATATATAATTATATATCTTGGTCAGAGCCAAGCTTTTAAACCAAGATCAAACTTTGATTCGGGATCCCAGCCCAGTTGATGGACAATAAACTAAGACCTGCCAGTTGAATGTCATGCTATTTTTTCATTCTGAAGTAGCTACACCCAACCTCTGTATCTCCTAGGACAGGGGTAGGCAACCTTGGCTCTTTGATGACTCATGGACTTCAACTCCCAGAATTCCTCAGCCAGCCACGCTGAGGGGAAAGGGGGAGGTTTCCAAGCTGAGCCATGCTGGCTCAGGAATTCTGGGAGTTGAAGTCCACGAGTCATGAGGGGGCCATAGTTCCCCCATGCTGGCTCAGGAATTCTGGGAGTTGAAGTCCCCGAGTCATGAGGGGGTCATAGTTCCCTCATGCTGGCTCAGGAATCCTGGGAGTTGAAGTCCACAAGTCATGAGGGGGCCATAGTTCCCCCCTGCTGGCTCAGGAATTCTAGGAATTGAAGTCCACGAGTCATGAGGGGATCATAGTTCCCCATGCTGGCTCAGGAATTCTGGGAGTTGAAGTCCACGAGTCATAAAAGAGCCAAGGTTGCCTACCCCTGTCCTAGGTAAAAACTCATATTTTCCTCAAACCAATACAGGGGATCCTCGTCTTACAACAGTTTTGTTTAGTGACTGCTTAAATTACAACAGCACTGGAAAAGGTGACTTGCAACCGTTTTTCACCCTTACGACCATTGCAGCAATCCCATGATGAGGTGATCAAAATTCAGACCCTTGGCAACTGACTCATATTTATGATGGTTGCGATGTCTCAGGGTCACATGATCCCCTTTTACGACGGTCTGGCGAGCAAGGTCAATGAGGAAAGCAGGTTCACTTAACAACCTGCATGACTAATTTAAACGCCTGCTGTGATTCCCTTAACAACGGTGGTAAGAAAAGTTGTCAAATGGGGCAAAACCCAGTTAACAAATATGTCACTTAGCAAGGATAAATTTTGGGCTCCATTGTGGTCGTACGTTGAGGATTACCTGTACAGACCAAGATGGTTGAATAAGGATGGGAGGTGTAGTTCCACAAACTTGGAGAGTTTGCTAAAATAAGCAGTAGCTCTGATCTGGGGGTGAATGGGTCACCAAACCAAAGATTGCTTAAAATGCTGGCTAATAATTGAATTAGAATCAGAACAGCAGAGTTGGAAGGGACCTTATTGGTCATCTAGACCAACCCCTGCCCCCCCCAAGCAGGAGACCCTACACCACTTCTGATTGCAAGATGAGAGGCATTTTCTTCATGCAATTTGTACCTGCTGGATCTTATGTTTATCAGTGTTTATCCCGCAGGCTTTTCCCTGATTTAGAGACATTTCTGGGGTGGAGTCAGAGTTTTAAATGATTAATATAATATATCTTTGATAATGGTCCTTCAGCTATAGAATATTTTCCGCAAATCAAGCTACCTAAAGTAATCCTTGTGTTTCTGCCGGGGGAAGATATTTTTTAATTTCCCTTGGCACTGACAGGGATATTATCATCTCTTAATTATATATTTTTAATTTCATGTTATATGGTGGCGTGGTGAGGAAGACTTGGAAAGTTAATCGAATGATCTGCTTTTGTTTAATTCTGCCGTTTTATTTCCTGTGTTAAGCGGGGTTTTGCCCCATTTTACGACCTTCCTTGCCATAGTTGTTAAGTGAATCACTGCAGTTGTTAAGTGAGTAACACGGTCGTTAAGTGACTCTGGCTTCTCCACTTGTCAGAAGGTCACAAAAGGAGAATCACACAACCCCGGGACATTGCAACGGTCATAAAAACGAGTCAGTTGCCAAACATCCGAATTTGGATCTCGTGACTCTGGGGATGCTGCAACGGTCGTAAGTGTGAAAAACGGTCCTAAGCCGCTTTTCCCAGTGCCGTCGTAACTGAACGGTCACTAAACAAAGTGTTTTAAGCCGAGGACTACCTGCACTGTTGCATAAAGGGGCGTGTCCAAACAGCACGTATAAGCATGTATATCAATAAATATTGCCTATAATCAGAAGAAGCCTCTACAGTCCTCCGTTTACAGAAACTCATTTGACGACCGCTTCATCAGCACTGAAAACAACTGACTTACAGCCGGTCCTCAGACTTACAACCGTGGCACCATTCCCACGGTGACGTGATTCAGATGTGGGCACTTGGCAACCAGTATGTATTGATCATAGTTGCAGCATCCTGGGGTCTTGTGGGGAGGGGTCACCATTTGTGACCTTCCCGGCTCTCGTCTGGCATGCATCAGGTTGGCATGTAAGAGACAATGAGTTCTAGTCTCACCTTAGTCATCAAAACTGGCTGGGTGATTTTTGGCAAATCACCAGGAGATTCTGAGTTCTAGTCGTGCCTTAGGCACGAAAGCTGACTAGGTGACTTTGGGTCAATCACCAGGAGACAGTAAATTCTAGTCTCACTTTAGGCATGAAAGCCAGCTGGGTGACTTTGAGCCAATCACCAGGAGACTGTAAGTTCTAGTTCCATCATAGGCATGAAAGATGACTAGGTGACTTTGGGCCAATCACCAGGAGATGGTGAGTTCTAGTCCCACCTTAAGCCTGACAGATAACTGGATGACTTCAGGCCAGTCCCTCTCTTTCTTTCCCGCCCAGCTAACAGAGTTGTCTTTGTGGGTGAAAGTCTTGCAGTGGCAAGTTGTGCTACATACATTCCCCACCTCGAGCCATTTGTAAAAAAAAAACAACAACAATCGAGGCGGGCTACAAACAAATAAGCAGCCCTCTCTGCTCATGTGCGAACGTGGCCTTCTCAACCACGTTGGGAAACAAAACAAAACGTTGAGAAGTTTCAGAGCTTGACCGCCAACTCTCCATTCCCACCCTCGCTTGTCCTTACAG